AATATTTTATGGAGTCAAAGTGCCACACACAGAAACCACCATCTCTCACTTATTCAATACAGATGATGCTCTCTTTTTCGAGGAAGGGAGTAGAGACAACATAAAGAACCTAATGAGAGTACTAAGGTGCATTCATGTCGCATCGAGCCTCAAAGTTAACTTCAACAAATCCAAGGTCTTTGGAATCATAGCTGATATGCAGGAAGTCATTCGATGGGCAACACCTCTGGGATATGAACCTGTCAAATTACTTGTTACCTACCTAGGAGTCCCAGTAGGAGAAAACATGAACCTAAAAAATGGCAACCCATAACATACATATTCCATTCACGGTTTTCCTCTTTGCAAGTAAAAAACCATTTCCTTTGGTGGGTAGTTTAACCCTTGCTAAGGCGGTCCTTGGTAGCCTACCTTCTTATTTCTTTTCACTATTTGTTACGTCGGTGGGTGTTATTAAAGCTCTTGAAAAGATCATAAGCCAATTCATTGGTGGTGGTGGTGGTGGTGGGGGGGGGGGGGGGAGCATTGATAACAAACACAAAATAAGTGGGGTGGCTTGGGAAAAGATACTAACACCTAAACACACTGGTGATTTGGGCTTAATATCACTTAGAGCCACTAATATGTCACTAATTATTAAATGGTTGTGGAACTTAAAAATAGATGCATCAGCACTTTAGAGTCGAGTGATTATTGGAATTCATAATCTCAAATACAAACCCTTTGAAGTCTTATACAAGAAGTCAATTACAGTAGTTTGGAACAATGTGGCTAGGGTAAAAACTGATTTGCAAAAGAAAGGAATCAACATTAGAGATGTACTAAAATAGGTATAAGAGGGGAATGATACATTGTTTTGGAGTAATGAATGGTGTGGTAAAGGGACTCTCAAAAGAACTTTTCTAGATCTATATCAAATGGAGAAACAAAAAAGATGTAAAGTCAAAGATCATGTACAACATGGAAGAATGATATGGAATTGGAAACCACAACCAATATCTGATGAGCAGGTACACAACCTCAATATGTTAATATCTAAACTCGGTACATTTCAGCGTACAGTAGGATTAGATAAGTGGACATGTGGGTTATCTAATGATGAGATTTATCATGTTGATGTCTTGAGATCAAAACTAGATTATTACCATCCTGTGAATGATGAAGTTATTATTCCTTGGATATATGAATTCACTATCAAAGTCATTTCCTTCATTTAGAGAGCTAATTTAGGGCGAATTCCCACTTGTACCGCATTGTCATGAAGAGGTGTACCAATTTCATCCACATTATGCAACTACCTTTCATAGGAAGATAAAGATACATGTGATATCCTGATTCGGTGCCCCTTTGTTGTCACAGTATTGGAATGGATATTCAAATGATAGGATATGCCTGCCCCACAATTTGCTAATATTGGTGATCTGATCACATTGGCAAAAAACTAAGGAAAATGTCCTCAATGGAGAAAAAACTTCATAAGCATGTGCGTCCCCTAGTTTGTTTGTACGCATGTGCGTCCCCTAGTTTGTTCGTACTATATGGTTGATCTGGAAGGCTGGGTATGACCTTATATTCAAAAAGATTAGAATTGATCCAACAAAGGTGGCGAACAATATCAAGTATCTAGTGTATACTTGGTTGAAACATAGGATGAACAATTGTCAACACAAATGGGTTGAATGGTATGTGAGTCTCCTACTTTGTTAGTAAAACCTTGTATTAATTTTAAAGCTCCTATACTCCCGTTTTTTTGTTTGTCCCGTCTAGTTACTTGCTCGGCAGTAACACTTTTATAAATATTTACTGTTTCAAAAAATAATAATAATCCTTATATCACCATCCCATAAAACTTAATTAATTAACAAGATTCATTAGTGGACATTGTTTTCAAAAAAATTCATCCAATTGCTTTTTTCTAAACTTAAAAACTTTTTTTCATTAAAAATACTCCCAAAAACTTCTATTGATATGCTCTCACAAAAATCAGCTGAATTTGTGTGTTATTATTATTATTATTATTATTATTATTATGTAAATAACCCAATAAATAATAGGTAAGCTATTTAAAATAGAGTAAATTACACGAACGGTCCCTATGATTTGGGGTAATTTACACGTTTGGTCCCTAACTTATTTTTTTAACTCGGAAGATCCCTGCTGTTTGCTTTTATTACATGTTTGGTCCCTACTTTGTGTTTTTGTTACATGCTTGGTCCCTGTCTTACCTAAAAATACTATTATTTAAATATGAAAAAATAGTAGGGTAGGTAAGGTAAGGTGAGGACGGTGGGATTGTGGGTGTGTTTATCTAAATAAATTAAAAACCAAGGGAAAAATAGTCATTTTAACTAAGACAGGGACTAAATGCGTAACAAAAACAAACAGTAGGGACCTTCCGAGTTAAAAATATAAGTTAGGGACCAAACGCGCAAATTACCTAAACCATAGGGACCATTTGTGTAATTTACTCTTTAAAATATAATAATTATGAAAAAACCAAATCTCAGAGTACCACATCCTTCTCTCTGGTCCTAGTAGAAGACAAAAACAGTCAAAAGTCTTTTAAAACACCTACTTCAACCACTAAACTCATCATCTCGTTCATGGCGCGTATATCTCACCTCGCACTATCCAATCCCTTTCGGGAAATCTCAGGGCTGGTAGCCTGCCACGTCAGGCGCGTGTAATACACTACTAGTAAATCATACTTTAAATATACGGATAGTACATACATCGCTCTCGCTTTTTTACATACATGTCTCTCTACAATACTGTAGATCAAATTTCTACTTCTTGACCCTTAGTTTTTCTTGTTTCCAATTCGGGCTTAATCTTCAATGTTTTTACCAATTCCCCCCCTACTTTATCAAGAACATTACATATAAACCACATGGATTACTCTGTTCCAAGTCCCTCGTTAAATATAATCACATTTAACATTGTCTATAAGTGGTAATAAGCTTATTAGACTACATATTGGAACTGAAATATAATCGCAATTGACATATATATAAACTTTAATTGATAATTTTATATAATCTTTTTGAAAAATTAACATTTTTTTTATGTTATATTATATATGCTATAAACTATAATTTGATAAAAATTACATTTGAGGGCAAAGAACTTATGTATATGTTGAATAACTTTGTATTCATCACATAAGTTTGAGGTTTACTTATGAGGTTAACAATTAGGATAAAGATATCTCATTATATTTTTTTATTAGAGGAGACAAGTTTGATGTATTTATGAATAAATAAATCTGAATGAACGGATATATGATCAATAGACCAATGTGTTTTCAATGTATACGACATTTTGAATTACTATTCTAAACTTAAACCATTATTGTATTAATACATGTTTTTATTTGTATTTAGAAAACTAATTATTTTGACAACAAATTAAAAAATTGAACCCAAAAAATATTACACCAACCCAACCCAGTTTGAACCATGTCAAAATTACATGATTCGTTTTATACATTAATTTTGCCACATCCAGAGGTTCTAGTATTATATACATAAAAATATTACACAATATCATTTAAATATTAGTTTTTAAATCCTATCTACAAAGCTATTACATAAGATCCATTTACACATCATAATCGAGACATACATATATAAAGACCATATTTATCATTTATAAATATTGTATGTAAAATTACTCTTTCTTGTGGTTAAGTATTAAAGCATTGTTACCTTTTGAATCTTAATTGTAACAATCAATTTGAAAAACAAAAACCATAACAAAGGACACGTTTTGTACGAAGTTTAAAGTTGAAGGGCTTAAACTGGTAAAAAACAAAGAGAATAAGGACATAAATGTAGAAAAAGCTGCACCCCACTTTCCCGTATATACGATCGAATGTTGCCGTTACATTCCATATTTTCGAGAGTCACCAATAAAATAATTTAAGAGTAATATACAAGAGTGATCCCTATAATTGAGAGTATTCTCTTTATTTAGCATCTAACTTTTTTTTTTTGCTCATTTCATCCTTATAGTTTGGGTTTTGTTTCGGTTTGGTCAGTGATGGTGTTAAAAAAAACAATATACCCTTATCGGATTTCTTTCAACTTTATTTTCAAATTCTATTAATTATTTGTATAATTTATATGTGTTTATAAATGCTAGAAGAGCCACCAATCCCTTATCCCTCCCCCCCCCCCCCCCCCCTCTTATCTTTTATTTCTCTCTACCCATCGACACCGCTCTAACCATCAACCATTATCGCCGCCACCACCACCTTTGATCATTGACCACCACCAACCAACACTGATGCCACCAAACAAAAAATACAACGTCGTCGTTGCCCAAACCTATAAACTCTCTCTCTCTCTCTCTCTCGTCATCTTTTCTTCATCACCACTGCATTGAAATCTAATTATCAGAACAACACCGAGAACATCTAAACCGACTTCAGCCTTTTCCTTAGAACAAGTAAACAAAAAATGGAAAGAAACTACAAAAATACGAAGAAATGAATACATCATTTTTTAAGAAACCAATTTTTAGAGCAAAAACAAGTTCCTTGATCAAAAGCCATGTTTATAAACCTAATTTGAAACAAAATAAAGAAATTACAAAGATAGGTGCCTAATTAAACCCTAATCTGAAATGTAAATAGATCATCGACCAAAACCGAAACAAATTCAAATCACAATAATGGTCCAAAGAGAAAAAAATTTTAGGACCAAATTGCAGACTATTTTAATCCATAGGGACTATTTGTGTAACTAAAAGTTTAAAGTTAAAGTTTATAGAAAGCAAGAGCCAGGAAGAAATGAAAGAAAGAGAGGCGTGAAAGGGTTACAGATAAAATCTCCTTCCTTTGCTTGTTTATTTTGGGCTCTCTCTCTCTCTCTCTCTCTCTCTCTCTCTCTAGAAGTGCAGAGATTAAAAGGTGTGTAGTCTAGAGAGAGAAACAGCAAAAGACATGTTAGAAAACCTCACATTCGTCTATTTCTTTTCTTTAAGATAATGAATTGGAGCTTCTTACATCTACTTACCACAAGAAGATGAAAAACGAGAATGTGTGTTCTGAAAACCCTGCATTTTCTTTCGATGATGGTCTGTTATGTGATGAGCAAGAAAACGATTTGGATTTCGGATGTGGGTTTGGGTTTGGGTTTGGTTTATTTGAACAAGAAATTCAAATCGTGAAACAAAAAGCTCATCTTTTTACCCATTTTGAACATGATCTGTTATGGGAAGAAGACGAGCTTGCTTCTCTTTTATCTAAAGAGAAAAATCTTGTTTCAGAAGAAGGGGATTTGTTCAGTGATAGGGTTTTACTAGGTTTAAGGAAAGAATCTGTCGATTGGATGATTAGGGTTAGTACCCATTACGGATTCGTTGCTATGACAACCATTTTGGCTGTTAATTACTTCGATAGATTCTTGTTGAGCGATTCTTTCCAGAAAGATAAGCCGTGGATGAATCAGTTAGCTGCTGTAGCTTGTCTTTCTCTAGCTTCTAAAGTTGAAGAAATCCATACCCCTCTTCTCTTAGACCTCCAAGTACGTATCCTCTATACATCACATCTAATCTACACGAATGCACTCTAACTGTTTGTGAAAATGCCAATGTCATTATTTTGTTATTTAACACATCTCTTTCTTTTATGGTTTAGGTCGAAGGATCAAAATACGTATTCGAATCCAAGACTATAATGAAAATGGAGCTTTTAGTGCTTTCTTCTCTTCAATGGAAGATGAATCCAGTAACCCCACTTGCAATCTTCGATTACACAATGAGGAGGCTTGGTTTAATCACTCATCGTCTTCATTCAGAGTTCATTAACAGATGCGAAAGACTTGCTCTTGCTGTCGTCAATGGTAAACCTTCTAAAACCCCTTCATAAACTCAATCATATCGTAATGAATCAAGCAATTGTTTTGATTTTATTCAAATCGAATATGCGATCATTGATATAAACATAATATTCAAATCAAATATGCAGATTCAATGTCTCTGGTTTATCTTCCATCTGTAATGTCCTCTGCTATAATGTTTCTTGTGTTCAACGAGATTGATCCTGACAACTCATTAGATTATCAAGAACGAGTCAAAGGTTTTCTTGAAATTAACGAGGTTTGTTCTTTTCCTTATTATATTGTTTCCTTTTATTTTGTTACATAAGTAATTGAATCATAATCATAATTAAAGTTTTTATTTACGAATTATGACAGGAAAAGATAGAGGAGTGTTCCAATTTCATCCTGGAAGTATCAGAAACGCAAGGTCTAACTCATAAGCGAAAGTACCATTTTACCCCTGAGAGTCCAAATGGTGTGATTGATTCCTATTTCAGCAGAGAGAATTCTAATGACTCATGGGCATTTTCGTCATCTGTTTCATCTTCACCGGAGCCTGTTTTCAAGAAGAATCGGGTTCAGGAACAACAAATGAGACTGGCGCGCCAGCATGTCGTGTGAAGCTCGTTGAACTTTGAGGGTATTATGGTAATTTCACAAACCCTTGTTTTGAATATTTATTTGCCGAAGTATGTTGTTTAAGGTGTAACTCTGCAACACTAATCAATAAGTTTTGCTGATAGGACCTTCATTCTTGTTATGTTGACTTTTTTTCTTGTTAGATTTGACTTTGTTGAAGTAGATCTAAAAAAAAAATTAATTTATCGAGATTCTTGATTGTTGTTTTCTTGATCAAATTGTTTGTTTTTGACTCAATCAACTTGTTGAAATATGACTTAACCCAATAAGCTATAAAGATAACGTTTTTTTAATTTATTACTTAACACATAAAGAACAATTCGATAGAAAACGTTAGAAAAAAATAAGTATTTTTGCGTTAGATTTTGTTTTTTTTGGATGAGATTTGATTAAATAGACAACCCCAATGGGTACTTTTTATTTAAAAAACAATATTAATAATTAAGTTATGATTACTTGTTTACTTTTATGTAATTATTAATATTATTTTTACTTTTTATTATAAATGCTAATTATATATATATTTTTAAGAGGAAGGTTTCTTGAATTTTAGGAATAGTTTATGGGAGGTGGTATTTTCCATTTATGATTTTGATTCGTCGCGTTTTAACTTTTATACCTTTCGTTATGTTTTTGTATCCAATTAAAATGAAGATATATATATATATATATATATATATATATATATATATATATATATATATATATATATATAATCAAGATATCAACTTACATAATTTATTGTATCAATTAAATTGCATTAATCATGTGATCATAAATTATAGTTTCGGATATGTATCGATGGATCTTGAGTATAAGAGGATGCTTTCTTGATTTTGTGGGGTTGCTTTCTTGTGTTGTTACCTTTCATGGTTGGTTTGTCATTGATTGTATGGCAATAATAATGTATCTTGTACTAATAACAATAATTATCAATAATTTTAAAGATATTGTTACATGGGATGTATATATTATATAAAGTTTTAAAAAATAAGGCTGGTGGGTATGGGTGCGGTCCAAGACCGCACTTCGTGCCACATAGGACGCGAACACCGCCCCCAGACTGCGGTCTTGGCCGCAATGCGGTCCTCCAGTACCGTGATTTTTTTTTTTTTTCTATATATATACATATCAATTTTTTTTTCACAACACAATCTCCTCTATCTCTCAATTTTTTTTTTTAAATCACCACTCTCTCAAAAATAAAAAAATTTAAATGTTATTTTTTTTAAGTAATCGCAATGTATTGTTTTTTTTTTTTTTTAATTTCAAATAATAAAAAATTATGTTTTTTTATTAAAATAGAAGTTATATTAAATTACAATAGTTAAAAAAAAAGTTTTATTAAATTAAAATATCAAAAAAAAAAAAAAAATGAAAAGTGTGGCACCACACCCTTGGTGTGGCATGAAACCACAGAGTGGTAAAAAGTGATATGACGCTTATGTGGCGGGGGAGGGAATGCGGTTTCGGTGGCACCACTCCCTCCAGCCTAAGAACAAAAAATGATATAGTGAGAATGTAAACATTTCACATCAAAAAGTTAAAGATCATTGAATCATGATTATGGAAATTATTGGTATCCACCAACTTTATTTCTAATCTTATATATATATATATATATATTGACTTAAAGTTTTTCTCATATAAATTTTCTTAATGTTACTAATTTTAGTCTTTATTTAAATAATTCATGGTTAACCTCTTTTAATATATTTTAACCTTTTTCAATATATCTTTTTAAATTAACTAATTTGTGTATATTTGTCTAAATTGTTTTATAAAAAGCCCTTTAATTGATTAGTTCTTTCTTAAACACACGATACATTTTAATAGTTTAGAAATATTAAAATATATTGTTTTAAAAGAAATATATTACAACAAATTGTTTGGAAATATTAATAAGAAAAATTTATTACTATAGTCCTAAAGAGAGATTGGGAAAGTTATACAATCATTATAAATTTATATTTCATATATGAAATGTTTTTATATTTCATACATGAAATGTTTTTATATTTCATAAATAAAATGTCATTAAATATTTAATAGAAAGAATTAATTAGTATAAAATTAAAATAAGTTCAAGAGGATAAAATGAAATATAACTAAAATATGAGAATGAGAGATTAAATATATAAAACATATAAATATATTAACCATTTAGTATATATTGAACAGTGAATAAAAAAATAACATGTCATTGTGTTCCAATGACAATAATCAATCAATTAAATAATAATAATAATAATAATAATAATAATAATAATAAATAATAAGTTATAACATAAGTCATTATCGGTGATGCTTTAGATGAATACTTTTTTTTTTTTTGGTACATGTGAGATGAATAGTTACATAGAATTCAGTTTGATATTTTTTTATTGGTTTAGTAAATTAGTTGTTTGATAACATAGCTTTTGATTATGTTATAGACTAATTCATATCGACTATCAATCAAGTTTGATTATGTTATAGACTATCAAACAACTCCATAATACAATTATAGGTACAACATAATAGAACTCTATACCATGGTGTTGTTTGACTCTCCAACAATTGTACTTTCCCTATGTGTGGCCACGATAATACAATTGTATTAGACAATTAATTTGTATTGTTGACTATATGTACAAATACCACTCATCATTATGTTTTCTTTTTCGATTTTATAAAGTTTAAAATCCAGTACGGTATAAGTACAAGTTTTGATGCAAAGGGTACACTCATAATACAAATATACGAAATTACATAATTATGGAAGAATATGAGTAGGTAAGTAACTTTATGGGAAGGGGCAGATGAGAGATTCGTTGAGTTTTGCATTGCATTGATGACTTACCCCTACAAGCAAAATCACATTTATTAGTTTGGGTAACTTGTCATGTTATCTCTACACAAAACATCAAATCTAACAATTTTATGTTAGTTTTATATATTTATATGTTTCGAATTTAGGTCAATTCCATTTTCATGTATTTCATGTCAGATGACTAAAATTGGTTTTATCGGAATTTTTAGTTTTATTAGTTTTATAATATTGAAACTAAAACTAAAGTTAAGGGACACTTATAAGAAATGAGCAACCAAATTGAACATTTTAGATAGTTATAGTTGATTGCTATAAAACATTAATAGCCCAAGTTTAATATATGGTTCTTACTATTTATCCAAAAGAGATAAATGTCAAAACTTTTGTGAAAGATGAAAGTGTTGGGGCAATATTTAAAATATGTATATTATAGTATAAGTTTCTCACCTAAAAAGGTTATATGTTATGTGTTTATAAGATATGTGTAGAGATGTATGATGAAATCATTTTTAACTAAGTTTTTATTAGACCAAGTCAACCATTTATAATGAGAGAGGTCTTCATATCAACTTGCCTTAGTAGAAATGTTGCTAGAGAGCCAATCAAGGCCTTCATAGAGTCCTTCACCGGATGTTGCACATGTACTTTGCATATACCTATTTAAAATGGTTCATTAACAAAGTTTTATCAACATTAAAGGGTAAACATTTTCAAAACTAATAGAGAAGTTTGAAATAAAGATGAAGAGAGGGATAAAATTGTAATTTACCAACGGCGATGGCGTAGTGAATGAAGACCAAGTTTTTCAGTAAGTTCAGAAACTCTCATAGCATTTGGAAGATCTTGTTTATTGGCAAACACAAGTATCGTTGCTTCACGAAGCGCATCCTTTCCAAAAAAAATGTTTTAAATATGACAAAAAAATGTTGATAACGCCTTCATGATAGGCTTTGATGGGTTATGATAGAACATTTTTTTAACTGTGTTTGACATGTATTGGATTGTGATCAACTCATGTCATGAAACAAAATTTGTAATTTTTATCTCACACAAAAAAGGTTAAAATGAAAGAGCTCGTTGTTGAGTGCCCATTTTATACAAACGAGATGCCTGTCATCCCCATCTTCGTCATCGAAAATAATACCAGAAAGATTATACAATCAAATGTAACAAACACAACCTAATTATATAGTACCTCATTGAGCATGCGATGAAGCTCATCTCTAGCTTCTGTAACTCGATCTCGATCATTGCTATCAACCACAAATATAAGGCCTTGCGTGTTTTGAAAGTAGTGCCTCCACAAGGGTCGGATCTTTATATGATATAAAAGATAATCACTACATAATAGGGGGTCGATGCATGTCATACTATTTTTAAGAGTATGGACTAGATATAGGAATTCAACAAGTTAGTGAATTCTTCTTTAATGGGCACCTCTCAATCCGTGGACTTAATGTTAATTTTCCAAATATGTAGAAAGATATAACCACTTGTGTGGTTTTTTTAATGATTTAACCTTTAAAACTTTTATTTAAAAGAAAACAACTATAACAAGAAAAATATTTTCTACTATTTTTTGTAATTCACTATAAGGACAACTTTATCGTTGAAAAAAAAAACTCTTACGGTTAAACTAGAAAAAAAAAATCTTTTGTTAAACAAAAAAAAAAAAAAAAAAAAAACTATAGTTGTTTTTATGGAATTTGACAAAACATTAAAGACCTTTCTATCATTTTGGCTCCAAAAAGCCTTGTAAAAGATGATAGATAATTATTTGTTGCACTTAATAGATTATTGTAGTTTATAAACTAGTTTTTTTTTTTTTTTTTTTTTGGAAAGGGAACTTCCCTAACGAGGGTTTCCGGGCCAGCTTTCGCGTACCGACTAATCCCCCGCTGCAAACATAAAGCTTTGCTTCATGCCCTGGAGTCACTGCAGGCGAACCTCCATGGCCACAATAAACTAGTTTTTTTATAAGCTACTTGACATGTTTATTGTTAAGCTAAAAACTAGTTTTTCAGCTAGTGAGCCAAACACAACCTTAATTCATATATATTAATAATTTAAAACACATTTGTTGCTTTGAGTACCTTGTCTTGTCCTCCTACGTCCCATACCGTAAAGCTAACATCCTTGTACTCCACGGTTTCCACATTGAAACCTATTTCCATTTCACTAGATAAACATATGCTCTTGTTCAAGTAAATAACACTAAGTTAAAAGCATATGAAGTAGATCTACCAATAGTTGGAATTGTAGTAACAATCTCTCCGAGTTTAAGCTTGTAAAGAATGGTGGTTTTCCCTGCAGCATCGAGTCCTACCATAAGAATCCTCATTTCCTTCTTTGCAAACAACATCCTTACGTATCGTGATATCGCCATGCCCATTTTGAATGGGTATAGCCAAGAAAGTAAAAGATATAAAAGAGTAATAACCCCGAAAGAAGTTCAAGTTTTTGTGGTCATTTACTTTAAGAGATCTTGATCAAATGTAAGATATTTAACTAGGTTTTCTTCGAATCAAATGATTAAAGTATGGTTAGAATGCTTGATATTTAATCGATCAATGTGATGTGAGAGTAAAGGGGTTAAAGGTCTTATCAAGAGAATAAAGAAGTAAGAATATGATTCCATTGGGAATTAGATGTGGTGAAAGAGTGAACAAAAAGGAAATGGAATCAATTTTGTTTCAATTGTTTTTTAGACTTTGAGTTTCAATTTTCAAAGGAAAAAAACAATTCCAATTCCATGGTCTTAGTTCTTCATTAGTCTATTATCCAAATTTATATCACTTTTCGTTTATTTATAGATGATGCCTATGGCTATAATTATCCTTTTTTTCATCATATGATACGAATAAGATTCATATTATCTCCCTTTTTGTTCAATATAATTAACAAAAAGTAAACTATTACTTTTATTATCGACAAAACTCACTACCAGGGTTATTTTTGAAATCATACACAAAAGATATGTGAAGCCCATAAGACTATTATTCTGTTGTCTTTTAATATTCTTATTTTGGACTTTTGTTAATAAAAAAGAAATCGGTTTCATCCAAACTTGACATGAACTCTAATTCTGAAATTTCAAACTAATAGTAATATAATTAAAGAAGCATTGAAGATATATTCATTGCATAAATATACCTATATTTGATCCTAAACTAAACAAGATAAACTAATTATATACAAATAAAAGACACTAAATGACAATCTTGAAAAAAGGAATTGGGTATGGATAAATTTTGCTAGTTTTGTTATTTGATCATTTCTATTTGTTTTTGCTACTCTTTCATTTTGTTTCTGATAATCCAAAACCCAAAATTAATTAACTAAAATATAAATAATTTTTGAAAATTTGGAAAAAAGTTAAGGGAAATATCCAATGAAGTCCTAAAATTTTAGTCCGGTTTATGTTTTAGTCCTAAACTAATTTTTGTTTACGAAAAAGTCCCAAAAACCGGCAAAAGTTTGCATTTTAACCCTTTTTGACTGGTTGGAACCGGTAACAAATTAATTTATGACTATTTCATAAATAGACCCAAAATATTGAGAATTTTCCGCAAAAACAAAAAATATTAGGGTTTTTCTGCAAACAAAAACCTTATTATTATTATATTAAAAATATAAATAAGTATACTATTTTTTAAATTTGTTATTATTAATATTATTAATAATACATATAAATACATTTAAATTAAAAAAAATATTAAAGATATTTTATAAATGTGAAGGTTGAGCGGATGGTAATGCTTTAAGCTTTAAAATCATGAATGTCTCTTTGTATATTCTAACTTTATATATGGTCATTTCACATTTGTTATTATTGTTTGTAATTCAGAATATTAACATTTAACAATTTAAAAGAAACTACTGATTTTTCAAATTGTTTACAAATAGTGAGCATGTGATATGCGTGTATGTCTTGTGTGTAAGTATTTTTGAATTACCAACATGTGTGTTGCTCTTTTTCATTACTTTATCCTTGTGGTTTTTTTGAAAACATAGCAGATATAGTGTGATAAAGCAAAATAAATCATATTACTTTCTATTAAATAAGATATTTTAATTAATATTTTCGAATTTTGATATGGACCACCAATGTAAATATTTATTGTGGATCTGTTGGATTTGAAAAGAAATCATTCAACCTTAAAAAAATTTATATAGAAAGTGAGAAATCATTTTATCTTAAACTATTTATACATAATTTTACAAATAGGCAACTTCTTTTAAATTGTTAAGTGTTAATATTTTGAATTGAAAACAATAATAAGAAATGTGAAATGATCATATACATAATGAGGACATACAAACAGTGATTTCAATGCTTAAAGCATTACCATCACCACCACCTTCACCTTTAAATAATTTCTTTAATATATTTTTATTTAAGTGTATTTATATGTATTATTAAAAATATTAATAATAATGAATTTAAAAATTAGTATACTTGTTTATAATAATAATAATAATAATAATAATAATAATAATAATAATAATAATAATAATAAAGTTTTTATTTGCAGAAAAGTCCTAATATATATATATTTTTTTGCAGAAAAAATCCCAATATTTTAGGTCATTTTGTGAAATAGTCCCAAAATTTTAGGTTAGTTTATGAAATAGTCCTAAATTAATTTGTTGTCGGTTCCAATCGGTCAAAAGGGGTAAAAATGCATACTTTTGCCCGTTTTTAGGACTTTTTCGTAAACAAAAATTAGTTTATGACTAAAACGTAAACCGGGTTAAAATTTTAGGTTTTTATTGGAGATTTCCCAAAAGTTAAACCACATTTAATTTTCCTGGATCTTATTTCTGGGATTTAAATTTTCATAACCTTCAAAAAATATAAGTAATTCGTAGATAGAATAGTAATGTGTTTTTATTTTTTATTTATTTTTGAAAATTTGGAGAAAAGTTAAACCACATTTCTATTTGTTTGTGCTACTCTTTCATTTTGTTTGACACTTACTATAAATTGTTAGATGCAAGTGTTTTTATTTTTTATTTATTTGCTTTTACAATAAATACTAGACAAAATTACATGATTGGTCCTTATGATTTGTCAGAACTAACATGGTAAGGACAAAATTACATGATTGGTCCTTATAAGTGGTTATAAAAAACCTAATAATGCAAACCATTTTTATATTTGTGTACCTCTAAAGTCTAAAATAAACCCAGAACAACAACAAAAAAAAACATATAAAATGGTAAAAGAACATGTAACATTTAGAATAGATGAACTTGAAACGTTCACCAAAAAATAAAATTTCAAATGTTTAGAGAAAAAAAAAAAAAAAAAAAAAAAAAATTGTACCATACGTATTATGTGTATATATCCTTATAAAAAACCCAAAGGACTAAACTTGCAAATACCAATTCTTTATGTCCAAAATTGACAATACTCAAATACGTTCTTCACCAGGAGATCAGGAGAGGTGATCCACTGGAATGCACATCGGAACCGTCGGAAACCTTTAGCCTAGGAGACAACGCCGTGTTCGCCGCCGCGTCAACTTCAGCGTTCACAATCGATTTCCTCTTCTGTGAATCAGACTTCGACTCTTCTTCTTCTTCTTCTTCTTCTTCTTTATTTTCATTATTCAGAAGCATAGCTTGAGCTTCTTCAACTATCGAAGCATCATCTTCAGCAGCATATAGTATCCTCTTTATAGCTTCAATACCCTGTGAGAAAACAAATCTAAATTATCTGCTTCTGAAAATTCAAAATATAAACCAAGTCTGAAGAAGAAGAAGAAAAATCACTGGTATATTTGACATGGTAGAAATCCGGCAGAGGATTTCAATGTCTCTGAGCTTCCCGAAGTAGAAATCTCTCTCTTTCTCGAGGCTATCCATTGTTAGTTTCAGTTCAGTGATCTGCGTAATGACGAATTGAAGAAGATGATGATGATGATGATGATCAAGTTAGGGTTTGTTTTTCATTTTGGGGATTTGTGTTGAAGATTTGTGTACCTGTTGCTCGTATGCAGATGCATCGATGGTTGTGTTCTTGACAGGAGGAGGAGGGAGTGTTGAGTTGGGAGTCGGTGTGTCAACTCTTCGAGAGTTATGAGATTTAGGTGGTGCACCGGTGGAAGTGGAACTCCGAGTAGGTTTTTTGCTGACGTCTTTCCCGCCTCTGCAAGCTTCTCTTCTCTCTTCAGGATTGTAACTGAAACGTAAATGTGGATGAAGATCATACAGAAAAAGGTGAATTCATGAATTGAACAAAGGAGGTTTGTGTGAAAGATGAACAAAATAGAAATGGAAAGGTGAGAGAGGTTTACTTTTGATTAGCGCCTCCGCTGACTGAATCGCAGTATCGTTTCATCCATTGCATGAATTCGAGGTTATCCAGTGGTCTTCCTTTCACCAGTTTGTTCACTTCGATGTGCTGTAATTACACATATCAGATTAGATGGATGAGTAATTCTAACAATCGGATGTGTATTCTCTTTCAAATTCAACGATTATACTTGCTAAAGTTCATCAATATGATAATAACAGTTGAAAAATATCAAAATCACCTAAAATTGATTGTTGTGGCAGAATAATCGAGTACTGTTTTTGAAATTTAGCAATTACAATCGACTACAAATTGAAATCTGATCGTATTCAAAATGAATGAGCAAAAAACTATAAAGTGTCAAGTAACAACTCCGATTGTAATCAGAATGCAATAACTAAAGTAGGAGATATTGAGATAACCTTGGTGATCTTGAGTTTGTTGAAAACATCTTGAAGAACCTTGTAATTCTGAATCATGTCGTATTCAGTTTTGGCATCGAAATTGACTTTGTGCATCGGAACAGCACCAGGATGCGCGACATCCATTAGCTGACAATGAACAGCACCCGAACATGCCTACATGGAATCAGATCCACTGAAATCGTTCACTAAAATCGAATTGTATACAAACAGTAACTGTTATAGTCATAATTAACCGAAGTATATCCAAATTTCGATCGTTACGTCGTCAAAACAATCAACAACTGAAAAACACATGAAATTTAGGGTTTAAACATTGAAGAACGCGTACCTCCTCGACTTTGGAGAGATTGAGTCGGAGAGTTGAGTTGATCCACGATAAGATCTCAGATCGGCCGACGAAATAAGCAGCGTCCATCATTCCGATGTTTGTCGCCATTTCCGATGACTCTGAATTGAAACTGAAGTTTCTAGAGAACGAAGATGAAGGGGATCGGTGTTATTAACGCTCCTGTGGAGAGAAAAAACGGTATGTTGTTTTTTTAAAAATGATGAGAGGGAGGCAGGATTTTGTAGGGGTTTTACGGGATTTAAAATGGACGTATTTGTGCGCGGCAATCAAAAAATAATTTGAGAAAACTGCAAATTTGGTCCCTGTACTTTGCCACTTGTTTTGGTTACAGTTGTTGTGGTTTTAAATTTGCAAATTTCATCATTTTTAGTAATTTTGTGGTTTTGGTCTATCTCCAAACTAAAACGATCGACTTGTCGTTATCTAATTTTTTTTTTTTTTTTTTTGAAATGACCAAAACCAAATCTCTCTCTCTCTCTCTCTCTCTCTCTCTCTCTCTCTCTCTCTCTCTCTCTCTCTCTCTCTCTCTCTCTCTCTCTCTCTCTCTCTCTCTCTCTCTC